AATCAAAAGGTCTACTTTATTACTTGAATAGGACCTGTGTATTTGTGTTTGTACTTTCTTATCGAACATTATCTATATATAATTTAAAAATTGTTTTTCATTTATATGACCCAATATGTGCTTTATGTTGAAGTTAAGCATTAGTCAAATTTGTGATGCTGATTTTGAAGTGAGCTTTGTGCAAAAGAGATGTACTGTGTATGATTCATCTGGTGGGGTAGTTCTTGAAGGGGTTAGAACAGCTGATAATTGTTATGGAGTCTTGCCTAATTCTAACTATGTGTGTAGGAGTGCTAAAATTGATGTGAGTGAACTCTGGTACAAAAGGTTAGGTCACTTGAACTATAATAGTCTAGTACAACTAGCTAAGAAAGAGTTAGTAGATGGTTTGCCTAAGATAGGTCCTAATGAACATGCTGTGTGTGGACCATGTCAATTAGGTAAACAACTCAAGGGAAATCATAAGAAGACTTCTAAAATTCTGACCAAAAGACCCTTAGAATTGATACACATGGATTTAATGGGACCATCTAGGACTGAGAGTTTAGGTGGTAAGCGATACATTCTAGTTGTGGTAGATGACTTCTTGAGGTTCACATGGATAGAATTGCTTCGGGAAAAATCTGATGCATGTGATCTCATAAAGTCTTTGTGCAAATGGCTTAGCAATGAACTAAATCTCAAAGTGTCTAGAATGCATAGTGACCATGGAAAGGAGTTCGAGAACTTTAATCTCGAAAGTTTCTACATGGATGAAGGCATATTGCATGAGTTCTCTTCCCCTGTCACTCCTCAACAAAATGGAGTGGTTGAAAGGAAGAATCGGGTTCTTCAAGACATGGCTAGAGTCATGCTTCATGGCAAGGGACTAGCCTTACATTTTTGGGGAGAAGCTGTTAACACCGCATGCCACATAATTAATAAAGTTTACCTTAGACCCAAGACCGATCAGACTCCATATGAAATACTTAAGTCTAAAGCCTACTGTTAAGTACTTTCGAGTATTTGGGAGTAAGTGCTATAGTTTACGTGATAGAGAGAACTTGAGTAAGTTTGAATCGAAGAGTGATGAAGGAATCTTCCTAGGATACTCTAGAAATAGCCAAGCATTCAGGGTGTACAACTTACGTACTCATGTGGTGATGGAGTCAGTAAATGTTGTGATAGATGATGCTGTAAGTGAGGGGGAGAGTGTTGAAAATTGTGATGAAGATGGAGATCTTATAAGTTCTAATGATCCTATTGAGATACCTATGTCTGAATCATCACTTAAAAAAACTGAAACACCTGAAAAGAAAACATTTCCACAAGATCGAGATAAAGATCCTAAGGAACCATCGACTAGGGTTAAGTCTAATCATCCTAGGGACAATATCATTGGGGATCTAGATGAAGGCATGAGGCTTCGTAGGAGAGTACTGAACAATCTAGCATACACTAGTTATGTATCTCAGGTAGAACCTAAAAAGGTTGAAGAGGCTCTTGGTGATGAGTGTTGGGTGGATGCGATGCATGAGGAGCTCAATCAATTTGCTAGGAACAATGTGTGGATCTTAGTTCCCAGACCTGAGAATTGTAATGTTATTGGTACTAAGTGGATCTTTAAGAATAAGACAGATGACTAGGGTACTATAACTAGGAATAAGGCTCGATTAGTTGCTCAGGGTTATACTCAAGTTGAAGGAATTGACTTTGATGAGACTTTTGCCCCTGTTGCACGACTTGAGTCTATTCGGATTTTGCTTGCTGTTGCTTGTACCTTAGGGTTCAAGTTGCATCAAATGGACGTAAAGAGTGCCTTCTTGAATGGACTTCTTCAAGAAGAACTCTATGTGGAACAACCAAAAGGATTTGTTGATCCTAAGTTTCCCCACTATGTCTACAAACTACACAAAGCCCTCTATGGTCTGGAGCAAGCTCCTAGAGCTTGGTATGAGAGACTTACATCATACCTTGAAGAACATGGATTTTCTTGAGGAGGTGCAGATAGGACCTTATTTATTAGACATATTGATGAAACTATCACCATTGCTCAGATTTATGTCGATGACATAATTTTTGGCTCTCCTCTTGAGTCTCTAGCTTATGAGTTTGCTGAATGTTTGAAGCAAGAATTTGAAATGAGTATGGTTGGGGAGTTGAGTTATTTCCTTGGACTTCAGGTAAGACAGACAAAGGATGGACTGTTCATTTCACAGTCCAAGTATGCTAAGGATCTAGTTAAGCGCTTTGGGCTAGATAGTAAGAAGCATACTAGGACACCTATGAGTACTAGCTTGAAGTTAGGTCGTGATCCTTCAGGTAAGAGTGTAGATCATTCCCTATATCGAAGCATGATAGGTAGTCTTCTTTATCTCACAGCTACTAGACCTGACATTGCTTTTAGCGTTGGTGTGTGTGCTCGATTTCAGGCAGATCCAAAAGAATCACACTTAAGCTCTGTTAGACGCATCATTAGATATGTGAGTGGTACAGTTGATCTAGGGATCTTCTATTCTCGGAATTTCAATCTTGACTTGGCAAGTTACTCCGACGCCGATTGGGCCGAGAACGCAGATGATAGAAAAAGTACGACAGGGGGTTGTTTTTACATGGGTAGCAATCTCGTAGCCTGGTTAAGCAAGAAAACGAATTCTATATCACTATCCACGGCAGAGGCTGAATACATAGCTGCAGGGAGTTGCTGCACTCAGCTTCTCTAGATGAAACAAATGCTGAGTGATTATGGGATTAGTCAAGGTACCATGACTATTTTTTGTGATAATACAAGTGCAATAAACATTTCTAAAAATCCCATTCAACACTCTCGAACAGAACATATAGACATACGACATCATTTTATTCGTGAGCTTGTTGAATCACATGTAATCTCCCTCGACCATATCTCTACTGATAATCAATTGGCTGATCTACTTACGAAACCACTAGATGGATTGAGGTTTGAGTCGCTTCGGACGACTGTTGGTGTTTGCTCACCTATTTGATCATGGATTCATGGATGTTCTTGCATTCATCACATATGTACCTCATCACTTCATATCTTGCGTGTGATCTGTGTGTGTGCAATGCATTTCTTTTGTTTTGTTTAGTCTTTTGTTATGTGTTATATGTGTGTTTTAATAAATAAAAAAAAAATCAGATAAAATAAAATAAAATAAATTTTTTTTGGACTTTTATGTAACGATTCTGGCATTTGCATTAAAGATCAAATTCTATTTTTCCAACATGTGTATGAATCTGAGGATCCATCTTTGTTCATTTTTCACTGTGGAGTTCTGGGTATATAGCTCGTCATTCATTTTTACACAGCACACACTTTAGTCCTGTAAGTGAGTCTTGACCGCATGGGTGAGATTTGGAATGGTGTTCTTCTATGATTGGGGTTGTATGTACATTTGACTTGATCTGGGACGAGTGTAACCTAATCAATATTGTCTTTCCCCAGTTTTACTTTTGTTCTTTGTTGAACTTATGGCTATCTTCGGGGCCTATTTGACTCGAACAGTTAAGCCTGAGGGGTTTCTAACCTGGTGCCCTATGGTCGTCTGACTTGGGAGTCACCGGCCCAAAGTTCGTTACAGGGGTCATTTATGTTGCCTAATGGGGATGGCATTGCACTTAAGTTCTTTTGTTAATTAAAAAAAAAGATAAAAATAAAAATTTGGAATCATACAGTTAGGGGGAGTAAAATTGTGACAATCATAATATTTGATATAGGTCCTCGTGGAATTGGATTTGACTGTCACTTGGTCGACATTCACCTTTGTCTGGTTGTTTTCACGTGTCCTTTCTCACTAATTTAAGGTTTTGAGTCTAGCTTGCATGGACTACGTGGCACTTGTCACGGTGATGTTCTGTATACACTTTATTACACAGGATTCTGAACTATGTGTAGATTAACGATTTGTCTACATGCTAGTGGTCGGGTTTGTGATTTTATGCTTATTGTTGGTTTTGATTGCATATGTGGTTCCATGCTATTTTTTTTTTTTTGGATTATTTTCCACTATTACGTAGTTCACTTATTTTTTAAATTTCACGATTTGGGGCTAATTTCGTCATTTCTTGAAGATTATGTTATTTTTCTCAAAATTCAAATTTTTAGTGCTATTTTTGACATTTGGTGTTTCGCTCAAGTCTCGCCTGGTCTTCGCTCGAGCGACAAAAGCAGTTTGCTTGTCGCCCGAGTCTCGCTGGACCCTCGCTCGAGCGACAGGCCTATTTTAAAACGGCCCTGTTTCTTTTTTTTCGCGCAATTTCTTCTTTTTATCTTCTCCTTCGTTTTTCTTCGTGATTTCCTCCATATTTCATCCCCATATTCCTCTAATAACATGACTTCACGGTCCATAACACATTTGTTTCTGGATTTCCTTTGCCAAACTTCATATTGAGGTAATTTTTTTTTTTTCGTTTTCCTTCTCTTTCTTGTGTGTTTGGCTTACTTTGGTATTCTTGCTTGATTGTTACTTAATTAATAGTAGCTTCAACATTCCTTGTATCATTGGGAGTTATTTCCCGCATTGTGCATCACGATTTCCATTTCATTGTTGATTTCTTCATTCTTCGAACTATGTGGTTTACATGTTTTTCATCCATTTTCAATTCGTTCGTTCTTGCATTCCGTTAATCCGTTTGACGTGTGGTTTGTTTCATTTTCAAGTACGCCGTTTCTAGTTTGAGGGACTATGATTGGATGTGTGATTGGATTTCGTATGTGCTTGGAATTGTGTGACAAAGTGATGCACGCCACATGCTCAATGAAATTCCTTACCTATTTTACTCTTTGTTTCCTCCTTTTTTTTTTTTTATGCATCTCATTTCTTTCTTTCCTTTCCGTCGTTGGTTCTTTGTCATCACGTGTCATGATAGGTGTGTTCACACATATTTTTGGTCTATATCTTCATCTTACTTCGTTTGTGCTTAGGGTCATTCACGTTTGTCGATGCATCTCTATTGTGCCTCATTTGTATGTGTGGTGTTTCATTCCACATTGCATCGAATCACGTGCATTCTTCATATTACTTATTTTTTTTGTCTCTACGAATGCCAGATGGCCCATAAGCGTTCTTGATCCTCTGTACAGCCAGCTAGTGGTTCGACGTCGTATAGTCGTTACAGATTCATTTCTGCTACAGCTCAGGAAGTCTTCACTTCTCAGTTCTCCTTACGCCCCGTTCTCGTGGAGCGTGAGGTAATCTTATCTGACCTTCCTGTTGATATAGCCACAATTTTTGTTTCTCGGGGTTGGGAGCCTCTTCTTATTGGTCTTTCACCTCCTCCCCCACTCCTCGTTCAGGAATTCTATGCGAATATTCATGATATAGACGGCTCGTCCTTTAGGGTTACTCTTAGAGGTCATTCGTTTAGAGTTACTCCATCGGCTATAGCTCATGCCTTAGGTATACCTCAAATTACCCATCCGACGTATCCCTATATTTTACCTGCTTCTATTCCGGCCGATGCTCTTGTTCAGTCTACGCTTTTGAATACACCCCGTCTATCGATGGGCCTACGACAATGGCCACGGGGTCATTGCCTACTGATCGTCAGGTCTTGTTGCGCATAGTGTTCACAAACCTGTGGCCTATTGCCCATACCTCTTCTCTACCTATGGTGTGTGCCCATTTTCTGTATGCCCTTCTTCATGGAGACTCGATCGACTTTCCTAGTTTTGTATGCCAGAATATTCTGGTTTCCTTTCGTACTCCTGGGGGTAGGATCGGGTTGCCTTATGCTTGTTTGATTCATCGGGTTGCGTTGTCTTTGGGTGCCTTTTTTCCGAAGGGTTTGACTTGTCGCATAGGACGTCCGATTGGACAGCAGACCATTCATCAGAGTCGATCCCATGTACTGTCATCTTCCTCTACCGCTCCGGCTGCGGCCCCTGATGTTTTTGATCCTTCGGAGCCCTTTGATCCTATTACTGAGATTCTTACAGGGGGCTCCCGTGTGTTTCTCCCTCCTCGTCCAATTTTTCATTCTGCTATTCCTCTTAGCTCTGCGTTTGCTTCGACATCTACTTCTGCTCCGGGGGTGGCTTCTCTGCCCGTTGACCCCATGGTGACGCTTATGGGATAGATGTCCACCTTGGTCGAGCAGGCTCGTATGATGGCAGAGATCACTCAGTTGCGTGCTGCGTCGGAGCGTCAGATAGCTGAGCTTTCCTTTTTTCGCCGTGCTCTTGCTGTGTGTCAGCGCCACTTGCGTTGGATTCGAGACAGTATGGAGGAGGACACTAGTGCTGGGAGTGGGGCTGAGTCTTCAGATGCTGGGAGTGCTGCCTTGTAGTTAGTCTGTTGATTGTTTTTGTTTCTTTGTCCTTTGTGACAAAAAAGGGGAGTAGATGTTTGGATAGATAGACATCAATTTGGATAAATAGATGTCAATTTTTTGGTAATTGTGATATAACGATGGTCTGTGTATAATTCATGACTAGATTGAGTTTTTGATGTTTTGGCAATATTAGTGTATGTTTTTGGTGTTTTTGACTTACATTATTATTGCTTCTTAATCTGGTTAATGATATATGATCTATCTCTTGTTTTTATTTACTGTTTCTATTTCACATGCTTTTACACTTGGTATTTGAGTTTTTGATTTTCAGGAAACAGGTTCAACAAGAGATTGCTAACTTGGTAGAATAGATAGGTTATTTGGAGTCATGTTTATTTCGTCCTTGACTGTCATGTGTATTTTTGTCACAGAATGCCAAAGGGGGAGTTTGTTAGGAAAATGTGTAATTGGTAATCTGTGACCAAAAGACCTATTTGTCATGTTTGTAACGTCATGGACTAAATTGGAAAGGTCTAATAGTTCAGGGACTAGAGTTGCAATTTAATAAATTTTATTGCATGGGTCTAGGGTAAAGGTGGATGCTTTGAAGTTGCAAACAGCGCGTTGATGTCGCTAGAGTTTCGCCCTGACCTCGCTCAAGCCTAAATTACAGAACCAACCTCGCTGGAGTTTCGCTGGGCAGTCGCTCGAGCGAAGGTGCGTCGCTCGAGTTA